AATATTACAATTCTTTATATTAGAAAATATAATCTTCGTATTTGTACCAACAATTAACTATTTACATAGATAATAATGATAAATATGTCAAGATATAAATAATTGATTAAGGAAAAAAGAAAAAATTAGTGTTTATTTTTAATTAATAATTAATAAATTTATTATAAATAAAAATATAAGTAATTGTTGCATTATATAATGTCATTAATATTGTATATCAGAAATCATATATAGATATATAATATCTTGCATATATCATTATATAACGACATCGCATCTATTATACATTAAGATATTCTAATTTATGATCAATAATATTTGAATCTATTTTTAAAATATTTGTAAAATAACAAAAATATTTATTTATTTAATTTGATTATTTTTAATATTTTAGTTTAAATATAACATTACAAATAAGATATAGATTTTACTTTATTATAATTTTTAATATATGTACATATAGTTTTCTAATAAATAAACGTTTCCTTGTAAAATACAATTACTTCACAATCCATAATTTACATAATTTCAGTTTGATGATACTTCCTCCTCATGTATTGTATAAATGATGTAAAATTAAGGAAAATTTCGACTGCAGAATAAACCAACAGTAAAATCACATTTTCTCTTCTTAGAGAAATAGTAAATGTAGCTGCTATTATTTTATTTTTGTAATTTTGTTATTTTTAGTATAATTTTTTGATAATGAAAAATTGTAATATTTCTAAAACAAAATATATTTTTACAAAACTATATATTTATATAAACTTGATCTAAAGCAAACTTTTATTTGGAACTAGAATAAAATATTTTATATTATATTTATCAAAAAAGTTTTAAATAGAAACTTATTTCTTATAATAGAATTTTATCTTTATTTTTTATATATTGTTTATAAAATATTTTATATTTTTTATAAAATTCTGATTTTACCAGAAATATAGCGCTGGATTATTTTAATTTACGTAGACGAAATATTCTTGAAGTAGAATTTTAATTACTTTAATATTATTCGATGAAGATAGGCTATATATATGCGTTATGTATAATTATGCGTTTTTCTGGAAAATCCAAGAAAATTGAGTTTTATTGTGTTACATTGTTATTATATCTTATATAAGCTATCTTACTATTATTTGTAGTATAACTTCAAAATCTAAATGAAGATAAGACAAATTTTTCACAATGAAGATGTATCACGCTCAAATCTGACAGTGTAACAGCATTTACTTTGAAAATTATTTTTACATTTATAAGAAATTTATTATTATTAAGAAAAAAATGTAAAGAAGGAAGAGAATTGTATAATTGTATAATTGAGAATTTTATGAGATTGCAGTAAAAATGTCTTAAACATAATTATTTTTATTTAAATAAAATAATAACTTATATTAAATTTATTTTAAAATTATTATTTGTGATATTATTTGTAATTTTGTTTTAAATAAAGCATTTTTTTTTAATTTACTTTATTTCCACAATTTCCGTCAGATTTTACGATAGAAATCTACATATTTTTAAACCGCAATTATGTTATACATTCGTATATGTATATATCTTAATATTTTTATATTTTATATTTGTGTGCATTTTAATTTCCCTTAGTTCTGATTTTAATGCATATGCATTTTTAAATGTTTATAGAATATTATCATCTAAATTTAATGAGGGTAAATAAATCATAATTATAGAACTGGTAAATTGAAAAAAATTGCTCTAGAATGAGATTACTTAATTGCTCACAATGTTAATTACCTCCTTCTGATTTCCTTTTAATTGTGAATTAGCATTCTCTATAAACTGGCAATTAATTCCCTTCTCTATTTTTCCACTACACATTTTTCACGTAATCACGCAAATAAAAAAGAATGAAAGACAAAGTACACAATATTTTGATACACGTGCAAAAGACTGAAAATTGATAGGTAATTTTAAAATAAAATGACTTGGTAGTATATAAAAGCTTGATCCGATTGATGCGAATCAGTTTTGCTATCACATCTGAAGCGTTATTTTTATTGAATCGTTTTCTTTTATTGAATCGTTTTCTTTTCAAAGAAAAGCTAAAAGAATTCTATTCATTTAAAATGTTTGCTACAATTTTTATTTGTACACTTGTGACAACACTTGTTACAGCAGAAATACGTAAGTTTATGAAAATATTTATTTGCATTTATTATAACGTGTTATAAATAAATCTTGTTATATTGAAAGAAAGAATTGTATTTAAATCGCAAAATTTAGTTATAGATTGAAAAATAATATACTAATAAAAAATTTTTTGAGATTCAGTTCTTTATTTTAATGTATTTTTACATTACTTTTATCTAACAAATTTTTGTATATTTTTTATGTGTATAACAGATGTATAATTTAAATCATTGTTATACATTATATTTAATATTATTGTATCATAATATTGTATATGCAAACTGTACATCTGTCATACACGCCATAACAATTTTTGTCAAAGAAAAATGATATGATTTTGACCACTATGTTATCAATATCAATTATCAATATCAAGAAAAATTAGTTTTTTCAACCAGATCTATATTTTTTTGTAGCTTTCTATTATTGCATATTTTTTTAGAATGACATTCTCTTTCTTTTTTGTCTTTATAATATAAAATCAAGTTTTAATGTTATGTTTTTTTAAGTAATAATACATGATAATTTATTAAAAATTTCAAACTTATTTCAAATCATAATATTATTACGCAGTATTTATAAATAGCAAAATGTATGTATGTATATAAAAAAGACAAATAAAAACTAATATTACCTGAAAATTAACATACTGATTAGTACACGTGTCGGTGTAATTATAACCTTGTGCGAATCTAAATCATCTGTGTTCAATTTTTATAATATATTTTGAAATGATAATAATTTTGATTTTGTAATTTTTGATTTTAATTAATTCCTCTGACATATACCTTATATACATGCTTATATACATGTACATATATACACATTAAAAATATAATCCTTTCTAAAATATAAGAAAAGCTTACAATATTGAGAACAAATAGTTTTTCACATATATTATTTTTATTATAAAAATTACATTATTACTTTTAAATATATTTGTTGCTTAACATAGAGTTATACAATGATAACTTTATGTAAAATTACGTTAACAAAATTTTAATTTTATTTTTTAATAGCCTCTTATATTCATGTATGCAGCCGTAAAGATCCTAATCTTGATCAATGCATTACGGATAGCATTAATAATTTGAGGAATAAGCTCTGTGAAGGAATATCGGAAATGGAAGTTCCATCACTTAACTCATTTATTATTAACGAAATAGTTATTTCCGATGCAGATAATGCCAAATTATATCTCAAAGATTTGAAAATAGATGGGCTTTGCGATTACGTTATAGATTCTTTTCACGTAGATCTTGATAAGCTCCATCTCGATATTCATGTCTCATTCAAACAAATTAAGATAAATGCTACGTATGATTTCGACATACATTTATTGGTGCCCTTTGTCCAGAAAGGACCAGTTTATCTTACTTCAGGTACGTATCAATTTTGCATTAAGACAGTGCTGTCTAAAATTTTTGTTTAGACTTAGAATTGATTAATAACATATCGATGTTATATCTGTGTGTGTGTGTGTGTGTGTGTGTGTGTGTGTGTGTGTGTGTGTGTGTTGTTTTTCTCTTTACTTCGTAGCTATTTTTCTCATAATGTGCAATGCTCAATCTCAGGGACGAAACTATTGATGAGAGGTTGTTAGATTGTCTGAAATTATTAGAAAATTGTTATTTCTTTATACATATTATTAGATATTTCTTATAATTTTGACGTCAAAAACTTATAACAATTTCAGATGAGTTTCATCCTTAAAATCAAATGTTGTATGTTATAAAAAGACAATTACAAAGTAATGAACAGAAAAGATAATAGGCATAAATCAAAATGTATTAAAACCAAAAACTATAAATCTTGGATAGCAATGTATTAAGATAAAATAAGAAGTTATAAATCTCTATTAAATAATTACAAAACAAGAAGTTATAAATTTCTGTTAAATATTAACATTAACATATAAATATCTATTTCTGAAAAACTTTTAAAACCTGTTTTTGTTTTAACAATATTAACAAATCATATTTAATTGTGTTTTTGCAGATAACATAAAAGGAAAAATTGGTGTAGATTTAAAAGTAATAACCAAAAATGATAAAAAATACATATATATATCAAAAATGAACTTGAACCTAGACATTAAAACATTGAGCAATAAATTTGATACGGAGGGACAGAATTCAAGTCAATTAAACGAAATTATTAGTAATTTCATAGGCAGCAATGAAGAAGAAGTTATCAAGAAGGTTAAACCTTCACTAGAAGAACAAGTAACCAAACAAATAATTTTCCTTGCGAATAACATAGTGAAACATTTTACTTACGACGAACTCTTCCCTGAACAAGTATAAATTATTTAGAATTTTAATTATTTAGAATTTTAAGATTTATTTTTTATTGGCATAATGTTGATTTAATATAATGTTGATCGAGTATTCGTGATCTAATTAATAAAATCAAATAAAGTTCTTTTAAATATTTCAATAATTATTAACAAAAAATATTTTACTAAATAATTAGAAACAAACTTTGTATAATTATTGATCGATTGTTAACTCAACATAGATAAATGAAATAACTGGTCAATTAAAAATATTTTTTGTGTTTCGCCTTCTTTTTCTTTATTTATAAAGATTTTAAACTAATATATTTAAAATAATAGTTGTCAAAATAATTATCAAGTAACTTAATAAAATGATATTTATAATAAACATAAATGTAATTCTATAATTTATAATTAATCATATTCTATTTAAGTTCTATTCTTTTTATTGATGTTATTACTCACTGTATTGAAGATATAAAAAGATTATATCCTATGTTACATAGTAAATAAATGCGTCATATATTTTTAAAAAAGCATAGAATTAAATATTGTGTATATTAAAATATGTTTTACAATGTCCGAAAAATTTAATAAAATAAAATACATAATAACATTTGTGTTGTTTTAATTTAATAGATAAAGAAAATCCCAATCTGAGAAAAAAGTTTTACAAACTATATATGTCCCAATCTGAGAAAAAAGTTTTACAAACTATATATAAGATACGTTGTTCTTGGCATACTTTCATAATTAATTAAATATCTCGTGTTGACAACTTTTATTTAACGCAAAGGCAATCCTTTTTAAACTTTATGAAAAAATTACAGTTGAATAGAGTAATATATATACATATATTCTTTCCTTTATTATTCATTATTCATAAAATTTATCTAATTTTGATATTCGCAGAATGTATCTGAGGATTTAAAATTATGATCATAAAGAGAAAGAATTGACATACTTTTTTATTTAAAAAAATGAATTTGTTCAATTTTTTTATTAATTTGTTTGTTTTCAAGTTTATGTTTGATGCTAAAATGGGAGAAGTAGTGTACTTTTTCAGTTATATACACATTTCTTTTAAAAAATTACACAAAAAATGTACAACATTTATTTAATATAAATGCAATCTTTTTAAAAACATACAATTAAATAAATAGAGTAATATATAATAGATATTAAATGTTCATGCGTATATATCATTTTACTAAAATCAAAATTATATTAAATAATTCTTTTCTTCTTTTCTTTTCTTCTTTTTATTATTCCTTATTTATTTTAACTAATTCTAATATGCTTATAAATAATTTATTTAAAATCTAAATTTAAATATGTTTATAAATGAAGTCATCTATTTCATGGTCATCAGAAAAAACCGGTTATAAGGTTATAAGGTAACCGGTATATAAGCTTGATCATTCGTATATATAGATATTGTCGATCTGTCTTGTTGCAATATTACAATTCTAAAAAAGTGTTACTTTACAAAAAGAATTACTTTCTTTTAAAAAATGTTTTTCGCCATTTTTGTTTTCGGTCTTATTGCAGTACATGTTGCAGCGAAAATACGTGAGTATTTGAAAAAAATATATACATTTGTATCATACCGTGCGCATATTTTGTTTTATATTCCTTATAAAAAAAATGTCATGATATTTGTACCAAAACACTCGATCCGCAATTAAACAAATTTTAAGTGGTACTGTTTACATTAATTAATTTATCTTAATATAAAACAAAAGATTTAGCAGATACTAAATTGTTGCTATAAATATTGCGGCTATACCGATAATGTATAATATAATGAAAATATCACAAATTGTATACTTAGCATATACGTTAAATGGTAATAATGTGAAGAACGCGCATGTGAAAGCTGCGACCGAAAAGAAGTTGCTTTCTCATTACTCATTACATTCTTAGGCATTTAATTAAAATAGCAGTAACATATTAATGTCATTTAATATTAATATTGTACAAGCAAATTGTCAGTTGTGTTATAAAAATTACACATTATTAAATGCGTATTTATTGTTCTTTTATTTATATTTATGCTATTAATAATTTTATCTGAAAGTTACAGTTAAAGAAGAAATGTTAAAAAAGACATTTTTCTTATATTACAGCTTCATATATTAATGTATGTGGCCGCAGAGATCCGAATATTAATCAATGCATCTTGGACAATATCAACAATTTGAAAAGTAAAATCTGCGAAGGATTACCAGACCTAGATATTCCACCAAATGATCCATTTATCATCGACAAAATAGTCATTTCTGATACACCCAATATTAAATTATATATTAGAAATGCGCAAATATCAGGCTTATGCGATTTTACCATAAAATCCCTTCATGCAGATATTGATAATCTTAACTATGATGTTGATCTCTTATTTCACGAAATTCGAGGAAATACAACTTCTGATTTTAACATATCTTTATTATCAACACCCATCGCTTATAAAGGACAACTTTACATTGTCGCAAGTATGTAAAAAATTAATTTTTTATTACAATGAGATAAATATTCCGAAAATTATTTTAGTTAAAAAAATATAAAATAATTTTATCAAATTCTTACCAAATTTTTTACAGATAATATAGAAGCAAAAGTACATTTGGATTTTAAAATAGTAACTAATAATGGCAAAAGATACACGTACTTGGCAAAAATGAAGTTAAATCTCATTATAAACGATCACGACGTCCAATACAACATTGCAGATGAAAAACAAACTACTCAATTAATTGAAATTGTTCAAAACTTTGTTGGTAATAATATAAAGGAGATTATAGAAGTTTTTAAACCATCACTAGAAGAGATAGTCATTAAACGAATTATATCGCTTGCCAACGACATAGTTAAACATTTTACTTATGAGGAACTTTTTCCCGAACGATCTTAAAATTTTAATATTTTATTTAGAAGATTATTTCATACATTCTACATTCTCTTTAAGAACTAATTGAAAAACAAAATTTATTATCAAGATCCGGACGTTTCTGAAATTCGTCACGTCGCGCGCAGAGCATCACTGCGCGCGAATATTCGTTGAAATGAGATAGTTATCAAGATTTGGTAAGTAGATCCGATTCATTCATTCATAGATGATTCTTCGCGCGCGACACGAGAAGTTACACAGGCCATGTTTATTACAATGGTTCAAAACCAATAATGCAATAAATATGGTTTGCTAATAATAAAACATAATTAATACCGTATAATTATTATTAATTTCTGATGCAATACAGATTTGTACAAAATATAATGTTGTGATACGTTGTAGTGACACAATGTAAAGAAATCTACTTAGAATCAATTATTTATAATATATAAAATAGATATATTATTTTGTTAGATTAATTCAACGAAAAACATTGTGTATGTTTATTACAATATATCGTATAGATTTCATGTTATTAGATATTGGATAAATTAATTTTTGTATTATGATGCGGTAGCTTTAATAGCTCTGTAATAATTAAGAATATAATTTTAATAAAATTTAAACAAACATAATGTATAATGTATTATATTTAAGTATAATTAATTATATTAATTATATTAATTATATTATTATTATTATTATATTAAATATATTTGTCTATATTTTAATTTAAATAAATTACTATATAATAAACGCAAATTAAAGAGAAATAATTATTGTTTTTTACAGCAATGTTTAATTATTTTATCTACAGTATAATACAAATTAACATAAATGCAATAAAAATAAGGAATTAATTCTTTTTGTTGTCCCATTATCATTATTTTATTATTGTTATCTTATCTGCACCTAATTTATCTCGACATTATCTCGACGTAAAACGTTATTTCTTTTGCAAGATTTGTTTGTTGTTTGTTTGTTTATTAGAAATTAACATGTTCTCTGTTTGTTAAACAGATTTATAAAAACCTAATTAAATATCTAATTGAATTAGAATTAAAATATTTTTAAATAATTTGTTTTCTTAAATTTTAGACAACAAAGAAAAAATAAATAATTTTTTAATATTATGAGATTTCTTATTTAAGAAATATGTAAAAGAAAATTATGTCTTTTGACAGTTGTCAATTCATTAATATGACAGTAATTAAGAAAAAAGCATTATAAAAATTATATTTAATGAATCATAATTGTGATTTCTTAAATCGAATTTTCCTTCTCATTTGCAAATGTTTGTATATAATTTGTTGAACAATAATGTGATTCCAACGCAGGAACTCTATTATTAGACCACTTATGCAACTCTTAATGAACTTGTAACTAAAGCTGTTTTGTTAGACAATGTATGTAACAAAAATATAAAAGACGATGTTAATAGAATTCAATCAAATAATTATATATTAATATTATAATTATAATAATTAATAATTCTATTAATAATTAATAGAACAGAAATTCTACAACAGAATTTAACTGTAAATTTTTTTACATGTTCTCGATTTATTTTATTATTATACAAATGTTTTCAATTCAAATTATTTTGATATCGTATGCATTACACAAGAATTGTATAATATTATAATAAGATTAGATTAGTTGAAGATTAGTTGAAAACAATCCCGTCCGAATAAGTACTATAAGAAAAAATTATTTTCAATTATCACAAAAATAATGAACAGTATGATAATCCATGATCTATATTAAGATAACAAAAATCTTAATATTTCTTGCTATCTTATTTGATTTAAACATAATTTAAATGAAAAAAGGATAAACGTGTATTGTACATAAAAGAGCTCTTTATTTATGAATAAAATGAATTTCAAGGACATATATTGCGTACAAATGCAGAGAAAGTAAATTTCTTTGCTTGACTCTGCCTTTCTGCATTTTTTATATTAAACTAATAAATATAATATAATAAATATAATAAATATAATATATACATAATTTATTGTATAGATTAAACGTTATATGAGACATAGTTTTATAAAGAAGCATAAAATATGAGTAGAGCGAAAGGAAACGATACTAAACTTTGTTTATCGGTACTTTGAACACATAAAGATATTCAATTGCGATTAATATTATTCATTAGAGTTTAATCGCAATATGCACATCAACATTAATATTATGCATGTCGTAGACTTTATATATTACTCTCTATATTTATTATATCTGGAAATATATTTACTATTTTTCTTAAATTTTACTTAATCTTACAAATATTTAAAAAATTAATCATTTATTTTAATTTATTGATACACTGTTCTAAATAACATAAAGATTTATATACACTATCATAAAATTTATGTATAAAAGATAACATAAATTTTATTGTAATATTACTTGGAAAAAATATGTCAGATCAGTACGTTATACATGTAATTGTATATAAAAAATTTGAAAAATTTAATTTTGTTAATTATATTACTTTTTATTTTGTTTTTTTTTATTTCTCGTATTTTTCTTTCTCGTATTTTTATGGTTTATGTTAATGGTAATATAAATTTAAACACAGGCAAAACAAAGACAAATAATTTTTTACAACAAAATTGAATCACGCATTCTACATATTAATTATTTCTCAAGAATTATTAGATGACGTTAGAGGAAGTCATATTATCATATAGATCAAGATTATCAGATCAGTGAAATATCAAATTATATTTTTAGAAGACGAAATAGTTTTAATTTTATATACCTAAAATATATTTTGTATAAAAACTTTATCTTTTATTTTCTATAAAAAAATACTATTATATATACAATACATATACATATATTATTAACACGGATACTTGTACATCTCTAATATGAATCATTATGAGTTGAGAAGAAGGAGAAAACTAAGAAGGAGGGAACTGATTAAATCAATAAATAGAGGCTATGTATTTACTATATAAGCTTAATCGAGTGCTTATAACAGCCTTCATATCTACCACATAGTAGGAAAGATTACAGCACAATTCTTCTTTAACAACGCATAAAGAGTTTATAAGCAGTATTCTGTCTTCATTTCGACAATGTTTATTGCAGTTTCTGTTTTTGCACTTTTAACAGTACATATTGCCGCAGAAATACGTAAGTAAATAAAATATATTTTATTTTTATTACAACGTGGATACAATTTTTCATATTAAACATAATAAAATTTTATCATATTAAATCACAATATTTAAAGAATAATCAAAAGATCATATCAATTACAACATTATTTTATGCAATAGATAATTAATATTCATGTAAAATAAGATTTTCAAATAAATCTAATTAGTTATTTTAATTTGTAAATATTGGAACAATAATTATGTAACACGTTATTTTAGTTCTTATTCTCTCTCTCTTTCTCTCTTTCTCTCTTTCTTTTTCTCTATTTCTCTCTACCCCTTCTTTTTATTTTGCATCTCAAACAAAACTTTTTATTATAGATATTCTTTTAAAGTTTGATATTAATATTTTGATAACATTATAATATAAATGATATATTATAAAAATGTTAGCTCTTTTGTAAATATATTTTATACTTTTTCTATTTCCATCTTGACAATTTTGTCCAAAACTACGTACAAAATCTTTTATATTCTTTACAGCCTCTTATATTCATGTGTGTGGTCTCAGAGACCCAAATATTGAACAATGCATTTTAAAAAAATGTTGAAAATTTAAAGGATAAAATTTGCGAGGGAATTCCAGAATTAAGCATTGCACCTAACAATCCACTTCGTCTTGACAAATTAACAATTTTTGATATACCCAATGGTAAATTAGTTCTTGAAGATTCACAAGTGACAGGGCTGTGCGACTTTGTTGTAAACTTCCTTCATGTAGATACAGACAAGTTGCATTATGATGTTGATGTGTCATTTAAGCGAATTCAAGTAAACACCACTTATCATCTCAATATGCATTTATTGGTGCCTATCACCAACAGAGGACAAGTTTATATTACTACAGGTATATGAAGTAATTGAAATTATTCAAATAAGCGAGAAAATGTCTTAATAATATCGATTTTAACTTAAGAGATTCAAACTGGGGTTTGGTGTTCTATCAAAATTATTAAAATGTATCTTGCAGATAATGTAGGAGCAAAAGCAAGTATGGACATGAAATTGACTAATCAAGATGGCAAAACATATATGTATTTATCAAAGATGAAAATAAATCTTGACATTAAAGGATATGATGTTCGACTTGGATTGAACGAAGAACAATTAAGTCAATTGCGTGAAATTGTTACAAATTTTGTAGGGAACAATCAGCAAGAGATTATTAGAACTTTTAAACCAGCTTTGGAAGAGGCAATTTCGAAACGAATCATCTCGGTTTCCAATGATATAGTTAAACACTTTACTTATGAAGAGCTCTTCCCTGATCGAACATAAATTATTCAAAATTCTAAGATTACTGTTTTGTTAGATCACCGTTCCGTTTTTTATTTAAAGAAAAATTAAAATAATATGTGAGAAGTTTAGGTGACATTTCACAATTTTGCTATATAACATCTTTAAAATGCAAATCTTATTTATTATAATGTCTTATTTATTATAATTTTAAAAAGACAAACACATATTATAAACATGCATGGAGAATTCAAAAAAAATTAAATTTTATTAATTTTATTAACTTACCTGTTTTCTTCTTACCCTTGTTTTATCCTTGTTATTACCTTAATTATTGAAAACTTGTTTTATTTCTTATAGAATAAGAGAAAAAGAGTAAGATAGAAAGAGAGAAAAGATCGGTTTTTCAATCGGTGCAATTGAAAGAGTATACCTAAATATAAACTGATTATGAAACAATCTTGATATATGTTACACTTATTTTACTGTAATTTCATAATCCTAAAAAATATTATTTTGCAAGAAGTATTACTTTCTTTTAAAGAAAAAAAATGTTTCCTGTTATTTTTTTTCGACCATTGCAGTACATGGTGCTGCAAAAATACATAAATAAATAAAAAACATATGTTTTCTTTATCATGGTATATGCACAACTTGTTTCAAATTCTATTCATGAAAAAGAAGCTGTCACGATATTTGAATCAAAAACACTCAATCCGCAATTAAAAAATCCGAATTTTAAGTTATTTTTTAATAAATTAGATAATTTATTATAATATAAAACGAAAGATTTAACAGATATTAATTTCTTGCTACAAATATTGCCATGATAATATATAATATATAATGACAATATTAAACTATATACATAAAATATCCTTTAAATGGTAATAATGTGAAAAACGTGCATATCAAAACTTATAGACAAAGAATCTGTATTCTCTCTCTTAGTACAACTTTCTATATATTAAAATAATATAGTAATGATATTGACTTGTACAAGAATTTATGTCAAACATATATCTCATTTTAAACAACTCTACGACTTATTCATCTTGAAAATTTAAACATAATTGATATTAACAATCTGTTAAAAATCATAGAACTCAAATAATAAATCAAATCTTATATGTTATGATTTCTTAGAATTCTCAGAATTATTAATAAATATGTTTAAAAAGAACAAAGAATATTTTAATATCTAAAAAATAAAAGAAATGTCGTATAAAAATCCTAAAATAATATTTAGGAATCTTATATTTATTATTTTATTATGAATTATATATTTTCATCATTTTACATATACCATGACTTTCTCCTTCTCCTATCCTCATTCTCTCACACTCTTTCTCACTCTTCCATTCCATCTTCCCTCATTCTTCCCTCCACTTCTCCTCCTATTGTCTCTCCCTCTCTCTCTTTCTTCTTTTATTTTATTAAAAAAGTATATATTAACTTTTCATATATTAACTTTTCATATATTAACTTTTTTAAAATATTTAAGGCTACGTTTTATATTAATGTAGTTTAATATCATTATTACAGAAGCAAATTAAAAATTGTCATTTGTGTGATAAAGATTACACATTATTCAAAGGCAATTTATTTATATTTATTTATATTTATATTTATATTTATTTATATTTATGTTACTAATTTTATTTAAAAACTTATAATTAAAAAAAACAACATAAATTGTTTTTATATTATAGCTTCATATATTAATGTATGTGGCCGCAGAGATCCGAATATTAATCAATGCATCTTGGACAATATCAATAATTTGAAAAGTAAAATCTGCGAAGGATTACCAGACCTGGATATTCCACCAAATGATCCGTTTATCATCGACGAAATAGTCATTTCTGATACACCCAATACCAAATTATATATTAGAAACGCACAAGTATCAGGCTTATGCGATTTTACTATAAAATCCTTTCATGCAGATATTGATAATCTTAACTATGATGTTGATCTTTTATTTCACCAAATTCGAGGAAACACAACTTATGATTTTAACATATCTTTATTGTCAACACCTATCGCTTATAAAGGACAACTTTACATTACCGCAAGTATGTAAAAAATTAATTTTTTATTACAATGAGATAAATATTCCGAAAATTATTTTAGTTTAAAAAATATAAAATAATTTTATCAAATTTTTACCAAATTTTTTACAGATAATGTAGAAGCAAAAGTACATTTGGATTTTAAAATAGTAACTAATAATGGCAAAAGATACACGTACTTGGCAAAAATGAAGTTAAATCTCATTATAAACGATCACGACGTCCAATACAACATTGCAGATGAAAAACAAACTACTCAATTAATTGAAATTGTTCAAAACTTTGTTGGTAATAATATAAAGGAGATTATAGAAGTTTTTAAACCATCACTAGAAGAGATAGTCATTAAACGAATTATCTCGCTTGCCAACGACATAGTTAAACATTTTACTTATGAGGAGCTTTTTCCCGAACAAACATAAGTGGCTTAAAATTTTAATGTTATATTTAGAAGATTGTTTCATATATTTTACATTTTATTTAAGAACTAATTGAAAAACAAGATTTATTCTTATCTGGACGTTTGTACGATTTCTCGCGTCGCGCGCAGAGCATCACTGCGCGTGAATACTCGCTGAAGTGAGATAGTTATCAAGTTTGATAAGGAAATCCGATATATTCACGCACAGTGGTGCTCCATGCGCAACACGAAAAGTTACACAGGGCTATATTCAGGTCATGTTTATCACAATGCTTCAAAACCAATAATGCAATAAATTTGGTTTGCTAATAATAAAAACATAATTAACCGTATGTATACCGTATATATTGTTATTAATTGCTGTTGCAATGCAGATTTATACAAAATATAACATTGTCGTGATAGTCGTGATGTCGTAGTGGCATAATATAAAGAAATCTACTTAGAGTCAACCATTTATATAAAGTAAATGCATTGTTTTGTTAAATTAATACTATAAAAAATATTGTGTATGTTCTTTAAATATACATTATATAATTCAGATTTTAGATAAACTAAATTTATAATGTGATGCAGTACGTGTATCTAAACAGCTTAAATAAAATTTAAACGAACCAAATGTATAATATACATTATATTTGAGTATATAAGTCTTAG